GACATTCCTAATGTAAATATCCTCTCGTCCCACAGGTCCGGCCAACTACAGCCATACAAGAGAAGGCAACGAGGACAGTAGTGAACATGTACAACGATGGAATAAAGATGCACTAAATTAAGCTGGAAATGAATTTAAAGTTAACATTGATGGGTAATGGAATCCTGTCGATGGCAGCATACATTGTAAATAGGAATAATGGCTTTTTAAAGCGAAAATGAATAAAAAACACGCATTGATTGTAAGTTTCTTAAACGCCACCAGAGGTAAAGCAACCATTGTCCCAAAGAATCCTTTAAAGAATGTTAAAGGTGCAGTGAATCACACAGGGCTAGAAACCCTTAGTAAAAATCGGGCAGAAAATAGTCACTGAAATAGTTGAATACAAACCAATCGGGGAAGCCTACCATGTTGGAATGTGTGGAAATGAAAGAGCAGATGTGGTGGCTGGTGAAGGCTCAGAAAGACCATATTTGTCGAGCCCAAGACAAATAGAAATTTGATATATTACGAGGTAATATCATTGACAAAGTAACTATGGAAAGGATGATGGAACAATCAGAATCTGTACACAGGTACAGCATGATTGATGCTGACAATCCCCATCAATATGGAGAAAGTTGCAGCGGGAGAGAATCGGTAATAGCCAGACGAGGATCCAAATATACATGGAATCTAAATGAAAACAGTTGAGCAGATAGATGCGTTGCAGAATCTGTGGAGTGATGGACACCGCCTTAACAACTACCAGAGTGTGAACATGTTAAGTCATTAGAAGTGTGTAGAATATAAAGTCACAATGTTTGAGTTGGGAAACCACTATTTGTGAAATACGTACTATTAGGAGTGTAGCATTTTGTACCCGCAGGATAAGTTAAGAATGTAAGTAGTTTATCCTAAATAGCTCTCTACTATTAGACGTAACTGCAACATGCTCGTGTCTGATGGTAGACACCAAATAGAACTACTATTAATGATGACAGTATTTCCTGTGGACTCCATCTCGTGTTGGCCCCTGAATGCATGATAGAGCTGATGAGTTGGCCGAAGAATGTTCTTTTTTTTTTTTTTTTAAGAATAGAGTATAAACTTATTGTCAATAAGCAGTCGGAGCAATAAACAAAGTTCGCAATTTTTTTTTCTTTAACCGAGGCCGTGAAATACACCCTGTATCATACATTAGGAGGCACACGTGTATGGATCATGTAAGAAAATCTGCAGACTTGATGTTACTACTGCTTGTCTTATAACTCAGTCTAAGTCTCTCTGTGAAATCTCATGATACGCGGATGTAGACGTGACCAAATGTGAAGTGTAACCATTTTTTATTTTTTGATCTCGCCCTCCGTAACTGGTGTGCGAAAATTTGTAATTGTTGCCGCTAGAGGCGGCTAGTGGATAAGTGAAATCGGAGAAATCTATAACAAATGTTCCAGAAATAGTTGGTTGAAAACTATCTGCTACCAGAAATCCTCTTAACATTCAGTTTGGTAACTGATTGTAATGTATCCACCGCTGCCCACTGGATTGGGGATGGTGTGCAGGACAAACATACATTGACAGTACGTGTCCTCATGTCAGTTGCTTGCTTTAGACTGTACTTGTGGTCGATCTTGAACCCAATGATGTGTATTGAAAATTTTAAGTAGCCAATCAAGAATGTAACTAGCTTAGATAAATTGATTGTTGGGTTCTGGCAGAGAGCCAATTGTGACTCTGTACCACTTTCCACTACCGCCCACAAGATGGGTATGGGGTGCATAATAAAGGAAGTAAAGTTTGATGTGTTAATTGAAGACGGCTACGAAACTCCCACTACATAGCCTTCCCGGTTTGGTGCCGTTTGATAATTACTTACGAAAGTCGCGGCTACATTACACGGCACGAACTTACACGAAATGGTATTATACGACGCGAAACGGTACACGAAACATTACACATGACATTTCGCGAAACTACATTACACATCACTAAACATTGCCCGACGCAAAACATTACATTACACGACGCGAAACGACACATTACACTGCGACATCACGCGAATCATCATTACACAGCACACAATGTAACATTAAACAACGCGAAACCACATTACGCTACGAAACATTACACAGCACAAAATATCACACTAAAAAAACGCGAAACGACAATGCACGACATAACACTACAATACACGACGGGAAACGACAATGCACGACATTACACGGCGCGAAACGACAATGCACGACATTACACTACGAAACATTACACGGCGCTAAATATCACATTAAACAACGCAAAACTACAATGCACGACAACATTACACTACGAAACATTACACAGCGCTAAATATCACATTAAACAACGCAAAACGACATGACGCGAAACGACAATGCACGACGCGAAACGACAATGCACGACAACATTACACTGCGAAACATTACACAGCGCTAAATATCACATTAAACAACGCAAAACGACATCACACGACGCGAAACGACAATGCACGACAACATTACACTACGAAACATTACACAGCGCTAAATATCACATTAACGCAAAACGACATGACGCGAAACGACAATGCACGACAAGAAACGACATTACACGACGCGAAACGACAATGCACGACAACATTACACTACGAAACATTACACAGCGCTAAATATCACATTAAACAACGCAAAACGACATGACGCGAAACGACAATGCACGACATTACACGACGCGAAACGACAATGCACGACAACATTACACTGCGAAACATTACACAGCGCTAAATATCACATTAAACAACGCAAAACGACATTACACGACGCGAAACGACAATGCACGACAACATTACACTACGAAACATTATACAGCTCTAAATATCACATTAAACAACGCAAAACGACATGACGCGAAACGACAATGCACGACAAGAAACGACATTACACGACGCGAAACGACAATGCACGACAACATTACACTACGAAACATTACACAGCGCTAAATATCACATTAAACAACGCAAAACGACATGACGCGAAACGACAATGCACGACAAGAAACGACATTACACGACGCGAAACGACAATGCACGACAACATTACACTGCGAAACATTACACAGCGCTAAATATCACATTAAACAACGCAAAACGACATTACACGACGCGAAACGACAATGCACGACAACATTACACTACGAAACATTATACAGCTCTAAATATCACATTAAACAACGCAAAACGACATGACGCGAAACTACAATGCACGACAAGAAACGACATTACACGACGAGAAACGACAATGCACGACAAGAAACGACATTATACGACGAGAAACGACAATGCACGACAACATTATACTACGAAACATTACACAGCGCTAAATATCACATTAAACAACGCAAAACGACATGACGCGAAACGACAATGCACGACAAGAAACGACATTACACGACGCGAAACGACAATGCACGACAACATTACACTACGAAACATTACACAGCGCTAAATATCACATTAAACAATGCAAAACGACATGACAAGAAACGACATTACACTACGCGAAACGACAATGCACGACAACATTACACTACGAAACATTACACAACGCAAAACGACATGACAAGAAACGACATTACACGACGCGAAACGACAATGCACGACAACATTACACAGCGCTAAATATCACATTAAACAACGCAAAACGACATGACGCGAAACGACAATGCACGACAAGAAACGACAATGCACGACAAGAAACGACAATGCACGACAACATTACACTACGAAACATTACACAGCGCTAAATATCACATTAAACAACGCAAAACGACATGACGCGAAACGACAATGCACGACACGAAACGACATTACACGACGATGCACGACAACATTACACGACGCGAAACTACAATGCACGACACGACGCGAAACTACAATGCACGACATTACACGACGCGAAACGGCAATGCACGACAAAAAGCGACATTGCACTGCGACATCACGCGAAACATTACACAGCCCAAAACATCACATTAAACGCAAAACGACAATGCACGACGCGAAACAATGCACGACACAAAACGACATTACACTACGAATCATCATTACACGGCACAAAACATCACATTACACAACGCAAAATATGACACGACGCGAAACATTACACTAAGACATTCGTGTCGTGTACTGATGTTTCGCGTCGTGTAATGTCGTGCATTGTCGTTCGCGTCGTGTAATGTCGTGCATTGTTGTTTCGCGTCGTGTAATGTCGTGCATTGTTTCGCGTCGTGTAATGTTCTTTCGCGTAATACCGTAATGTAATGTTTCGCGTTGTGTAATGTGCCGTTTCGCGTCGTGTTGAGTCATGTCGTTTCGCGTCGTGTAGCTTAATGCGATGTTCCGCGTAAACATCACATTACACAACACTGCGAAACTACATTACACATGACCGCGCGAAACATTACAACACGCGAAATTATATTACACATGACACTGCGAGACATTCTGACACGAAGCGACATTACACAACACGCAAAAATGTTCCCGTGGAGAACCCTTAAGTTTACTTTTATATAAAGGTACACAGGTACATTGTTAAAACTAAAAAGTGCTTTATCTTACAATACTTTTGTAATTTCTTACCGTACCTAAAACCATTTTTCTTTAATTTTTTTTAAAGAAAAGTTAACTTAAATTACACTAAGGATCCGCCCGAAACTACGCGTACTAGTGGCTTTACATGTAAAACAGTCTGTACTCTGAAGCCTAATGTACCGCCTTGTATATCAATACAAATACCTAGCGAGGGATAAACAGTCAAATCCAGGTTTAACAAGTATTCAACCTACACTAATCTTGTACATTTGGGGGGGGGGGAAGTATTTTTTTTTTTTTTTTTTACATAGAAAATATATATAGTTCATATATACCCACCCACATCTCTAATGTGACGTAAAAAAACATTAATATTTTCCTTAATCTAAGAGTAAAGGATGTATTAATTTAACGAATATCAACATTTATCCAAACTTTTATTTACTTTTACATTCAAGTATGTTCATCGAGACAAAGGAAAAAAATAAAACTCAAAGGGATAGAGTAGCTTAGGCTATTTCTACTCTAAGTCTTTTAGATTCTTTGTGCCAGCTTTTATATACACCAACCATTAACAGACATTATGCCTAAGGTATTCAAGATTATATACCAATTTAGCAATTTTATTATTTTACATCATTCGGGAAACCAGCACATTGTCTGCAATAGCAATATATCAAAGGCTGCTCCCACAGACGAGACTACGTCGTGACAGGCAATGTCGTGCAACTTTATTCCGTCGTTATACATGTTCTTCAGTACCCCAAGAGTCCATGCTTTGCTCTCTGGCAGTGGTCGCCCGAGCCTGGGGATGAGAGAGGAGAGTTAACATCAAAACTAGTATATTCTATACAATATGATTTCAGAAATCTTTTGAACTTTACTTAAACTTCTTTACACCCGTTGAAACCCTTATGAGTAATTTATACTTTAAAACAGCTACCAAACAATTACGACAATTTCAAGCATGTTTATCTAGAGAAATATCTCGAAAGGATAGAGTAGCTTAGGCTATTTCTACCCCCCCCCCCCCGAAGACAATTTCAACTATGACTAAGCTAGTAAAACAATGCATTCAGACCTTCAGTGAGACCAGATTGTGTAGGGTAACAGGATGACCACTGCCAGACCGTCGTGCCTCGCTCGTTGTCCACATGAACTGCATACCACCTAACAAATATTACGTACTTTAAACAAATATTCTTGGCCATTTACTAATTCTTAATCCAGCAGGATCACCATATTTCAAGTTTAATACACATGCATTTCATTATTAACACACTAATAACTACTACTACTTCAGCCGATAAAGCCTTATGAAGTTTTTTCCTCATCTTTGAAGAGGCTTCCAGCTAATTAGTATCCAAGAGGCCTAGTAACCATTTGCCTTTATCCCAGCTGTGCCCGTTAGTATTCACGCACCACGAGAAATTGTACTTTCTACCAGCTATGTATCTGAAACATTTTAAAATTTTATTATTATTCTAAACTTACTAAAAAGGGGACAATAACTGCCATATTGAGGACGCAACCTCCATCTTGGGGTACTCAAAGTGTATTACTCTTCATTTACATTGTTTAACCAAATCAAACTAGTATATTGTACTTTACGTTACAAGGTATTTTACAGGATTGAGTGTCTAGTTTGCCGTGGCGTTTAAGGCAGACAAACTGGGGTTGTGGGGACTGATTGATGAAGATTAAGCCACTCAAAAGGTGGCACGGGCATGAATAGCCCGTAAGTGGTGGCCCTTTGGAGCCATTACCAGTATCAATAGCCGATACTGGAGATCTGGAGGCGCGACTGCACCCTGCGTCAAAATTGTGGGGGACAAAGAAACCTGGGATATCTAATACAGGCAAGGGTTGGAAGAACAAGGTTGCCGTTACGTACTCCTATAAGATACGTAAGTAAATATATTAATATGTACATTTATAATTGTGTATAAATTACAAGCATGTATATTGATATACTTCTATGTTCTATGCAAACGTATTTCATGTTACAGTGTTGGCGTTAGGCCTAACGTATCGTGGGAATGATTGTTCTATTTCTTTGTGTGCTCAGTTTTCCCACGGGAACTAATGATTTATATGTGATCATAAGTGGGTAACAGAGGTGAATAATAATTGAGTGAACTGTATCTGGCAAATTGTCGTGGGATCGTCCGTTGCTGGGTGAGCATGCCATTATTCCCTTCTGTATGCATATTTTAATTACTATGTAAAGAATAATTACCTTTATTTTGTATATCAATATGTATTAATTATTCATTAAGTTAGTTTAAGATTACTCTTGTCACAATGTATTGCTCCATTGTTGAAATAATAAATATTGTAACTTTGGCAAATTGTTCGCGGGGCAAGGCAATGTGTTTTGACTCTCGCGTTATTGTTATTCAGTAGCTGATCCGGAACCAGAGAGTTAGCATCTTGTGGAGTTAAGTTATACATTTTTGTTCTGTCATAGCCATACATATAATAAGATTTAATGTCTGGAAGATAGTGATATTTTTAATGTGATATATTGTGACCATATAATCATCTGTTTGCTATTGAGATTTATTTAATATATATGTATAAAAATTATTGATCTATTCTTCAGTCCTAAGGAAGATTTATTATTGTGCTCATTACTTATCAAGGGGTTATACTGGTGATTCGCTATTGAGAACAGCAGTTGTCTCGTATCCCTAGACGTAATTAAAGTTTGGCTGCTGTAGGGTCACGAGCCGTAACGTACGATAGGTAACAGTTGCTACTTTAAGAGTTAAGCGTTAAACGTAATATGAACTGGAAATAGTTTCAAACCGTTTCGCGTTTTTGGAAAAATGATTTTACCTGAAGGAGCACTTCTGGGAAGGAAGAGGAGAGAAACTGCCGCAGACAATACTGGCTTAGGAGACGACCACCACCACTAGGGACTCTTCAGTGGCTGTAGTGGTCCCCTGGAGACCCCTCACGACCAGTATTTTCATCAAAGCCATTCTGGAATCTGAAAACTTACCAATTTCAGACTAAAGTGCATTTAGACTAGCACTTGCAGCAGAGTTAATGCAAGCCAAGGTAAAAATTTATTAACTTTACCATCTTTGCAACAATTACTCTAAAAGTTATTCTGTATAATTGTTAAGTTAGATTTAATCTGTTAACATCTACGATACTGAAACCATTTGTTAGGCATCTAGGCTAGAGTCTTAACCTAGATGTCTAGATTACTTTCACAGAGGCTGAAACTAGAATTTGAGGTGGAGGGGGGCGGGAGGGAGGTTGCAAAGCAGGAAAACTATACAAGACTCAGTGCTACACTTTTGTTCTTAGCAGTCAAAGAAATTACTGTAACGGTTCTATTGTTACGTAAAGTATGGTGACAAATAAACACAGACACTAAGATACTATATATATATTTGGTCGAATATACAGAAGTACACAGGTGATACGTTGGTGTGAGTTGAGCGCACTGAGCGTTGGTACAGTATCTCGCAAGTGTCTGCTCTAGACCACACTTGAAAGTAGACTCTGGTGAATGTTTGCTATCCTGCTGCTTATATGCCCGGGAAACGCCTCACCGTGTTGTCTGGGCAACGCCTCACCTCATTCATCTCCAAAGGTTGACAGGAATATTAGCAAAGCATTTGGAGCGAGTATATTATTGGGATAATCTACTCGCTACATTACAAAGTCCTTAAGTTTCTTTACATTAAGATCATAGCTTATCAACTGTCTACATTTAATGTTAAGTGTTAATTAACATTGTCCTAAGTAACGAATTATTACCGTGTCAACGTGTATAGCTATACTGCGTATTTAACTACAACTCCTCAACTGCTAAACCAATCCACTGTGGGCAAGTGTCTTTAGACTACCATCTGAATTTTACTCAAGCCGCTTTGTGTAGATCCCGGGGCACAATTGCACCACTACGAACTGGTAGTTACGTTCACTATCGTTCAGATCCAAGGGTCGACTTTTACGTTAACTTTTATAACTAATTACATAACTATACCGACATGAATGAATCTACTGAAATGCTACTCTAAATGCATTTTAACATACGACAGGATGTATATAATTAACTTTGATAGTAAAAAACAGATTAACAATGGATGGACAGCCTAAGATTTACAGAACGTAATTAATGATTTGTAGAAAATTTCACTACTTGCCCATTACTAGAAGGGGGGGGACGCAACAAAGGGGTAGGGGGGGGAAGGAGGGGGGACGCAACAAAGGGGTAGGGGGAAAGGAGGGGGGGAAGCAACAAAGGGGTAGGGGAAGGGAGGGGGGACGCAACAAAAGGGATCCGCCACATACAGCTCACCTCCAAGAGACGAAGCTGGAACTGTTTACCAAAAGTGAGGTAAAACACACTGACGTGCTTTATGTCTCATCCTTCCTCTTATAACCAGCAGCCCACCAAACCCGGCCGCTGATTGGTTGACATTCACCCTCAAACTCATCCCATTGGTTAACATTATGCGAATCTCAAGGGTCAATTAACAATGGCCAACAACCACTCCTTCACTTCCCCAAATACGAACGAGTCTCTAATGAACCAATAATGGTCCCCAACTTGACTGTTTGAAGTTGTTAATCTAAAAATCTATTTCACAAACCAAATACAACATTTTAATGACAATGTTGCAACAGAACAATAGGTACAACAGAGCAACATATGCAATGGAATCACCAGTCAAGTAGTAATCGTCCGCCAGTCAATAACTGTTAATGGCCACTAGACAGCTACAATATACAATATATGCAATAACACACTAAGAAATCCAACAACCCAAAGTTCCCGACACAACACTGGATGATGTTAAATATTTGCTCTCAATTAACTTAAGATATTGCTCGTTAATGACAAATTAGGCGAGTTTAACTTATTGAAGTGTGAACAATTATGCTTTATAATAACTATTAACGTCCACGATTACATTGTTCAGATTATTTTTCTGCACAAGTGGCGTCCTCGGCGCTCCTCTCGTCCTCAAAACAAGTCTTCCCGTCACCTTCCTGTCTCCGTCTCCCCAAGGTACTCCTCGAGCGCCTAGCATAGGTCTCAAGACGAGTCTTACAGGATGTCAGCCGGGTCCCAGCTCCTTCCTACACGCCCTCTACAGCTCCAGCCTCTTCACTCCTGCCTGTTATATCTGAATGTTTATCTTGACATTTATAAGCTTATAACTGTCTTATCGTAACCTCCACCTCACACGACCACAACCAGACAATAAGACAACTTAGGGTAGTCTCGGGGTATTAAACAAAATATACAACGACGAGATAACATAACACAACATTGCCTCTCACCACGTCAAGTCTATCACGTGACACCAGCCTCTGATGCCTCTCGTCGGTCTTGCCTCTCAAGTCTTCCTTCTTGGCAACCTGTACACTGAACATTGTTACCTTCAACACTGCCAGTGTATCCTCAGGATGGATATAGGGTTCACAACTAGTCACTCGATGTTTATCTCGGGTCCATTACCACCTATAGGATATTAATGGAGTCCATTACCAACTGTAGGATAAGTATTGGGTCCACTACCGCCAACAGACTGGGTACAGGGTACAATACCGCCCACAGGATGGGTATAGGGCCCACTACTGCCCACCTGTGTGCGGTAGTGGACCTAATACCAATCCTTTGGATGGTAGTGCACCCCATACTCATCCTATGGACGATTGTAGGTCCCATACCCATCCTACTGGTGGTAGTGAACCCCATTCCCACCCTGTGGGCGCTAGTGCACCCCATACCCAACCTGTGGGCGGTAGTGAACACATCCCCTTGGCGGTAGTGGACCCCATACCCATCCTGTGGGTGGTAGCGAACCCAATACCTATTCTTGAGTGGTAGGGGACCCCATAAACATCGTGTGACGTGTTGTGGACCCTTTATCTATCCTGTTTGCAGTAGTGTACCCCTTACACATTCCAACGTCACATCGTTTTCTGTTGACGTTCCTACAAATCATTAATTTATTTATTTATTATTTATTATCCTGAAGATTTTCACAACCTTACACTATTGTATATAATGTTGTTTAACGAAACCATTATTATTGTATGTAATAATGTATAGCAAGCTTATTATAATTTGCTAAGAAGCACCAACATGCCTCCTAGGTGCTAACCTTTAACAAAATGCACTGTAGAATAGTGTTTTAAATCATGGGTTGAAACATCAGTTGACACAAAATGGAGACTTAACTTCTTTTTTTAACTATTTCGATTTTAGTGGAGTATTCATCCGTCAACAGCTATCATCATCGCTGACGAATTCACTAAAATATTAACTATTAAGCTTTAAAATCATCCAAAATACTAAAATAATGAGCCATAGGTGGTAGTTATTTATACCAAAGGTAAACTATAAATCTAAATTAATAATTTTATTATTAGTAATAATTATTAATCATTATTTAACTTTGCCCCAAGTCAACTAGATTTTCTTTATTTTCTCGGAATATTGCTGTCCTCAGGATGCTCAGAGGCAATCAGAAATGGTAATCAATTCCCTCCTTACCAGCAAATTATTTAGCTAAATTTGGAGCACTGTGCTCAGTCCCACAAGGTCTCCGTGCCGTCCTCTGTGCTCAGTCCCACAAGGTCTCCGTGCCTTCCTGTGCTCAATCCCACAAGGTCTCCGTGCCGTCCTCTCTATTCCACAACGCTGAATTACTGGCCATTCCCAGGATGCACGTCGTCACTTGGCAGGGACGACGGTTGAGCGACGGTCTCGCTTCATGCTTGGTCGGCGTTCAATCCCCGACCGTCCAAGTGGTTGGGCACCATTCCTTTCCCGGTCCCATCCCAAATCTTTATCCAGACCCCTTCCAAGTGCTATATAGTCGTCATGGCTTGGCGCTTTCGCCCCTCATAGTTCCCTTCTCTTCCCTGGATGCAGAACTTCCCTGTTTTAATGTAATTTTCTGTAATAATTTGTAATTGTATTTGTGCTGTTTTTTCAACAATGTTCCCCCCTCTTTTACCTCAATTTTTATTTGTACTCAACGCATTTTTTTCTTTTTACCCATTAGTTTTAAGCTTTAGTCAGTAGTGTTTTTTCCTGCCCGAAACGCTTTGCGTAATAGTGGCTTTAGGCATTGTATGTACTAGCTCTTATCTATAAAGCCAACAAACTTTGTAAAATCTCTTTATGTATGTACCTTTGCCTAAATAAAAATTATTATTATTATTATTATAACTGTACAATACATTGATTGCTTTGGTAATTATTATTTAATAATTTGTACACATATTACCCACTACCCATTGGCTCTTTGAGGGTTGGGTGCTGAGTACATTTGGGGGTAAAGAGTACATGTGTGGGTACAAAGTACATGTGGTGTTACAGAGTACATGTACTTGTAGTATTGGACCCAATACTCATTCTAAGGGTGTTTGGGTCCCTATTCCCATCCCCCGGAGGAGGGGGGGTTGTGGACTCCATACCCATCCTGTGGGTGGTAGCTTTGTGTATCCTACTTTATATGTTTTATAGAATACATAATGTACGATCCGTTTTATTTGTATAGAGCGTATTCTATTGTACAGGTATATGTTATAATGTGCCACAAATTAAAATATATGGTCACTGCTTGCAACACAAGCGGGGATGTTTCTGGCGGGGGAGAAGGAAACAATTGCGCAGCGCGTCCCGCGGCGTTGCGCGGGCAGTTTGGGGCCGCATAAATACGGGCGCACAACGGGGCTCCGCCTCACTCCGCCTGCCCTCGCCGCTGCCCTCGCAAAACCCCACCCTCCCCCCCTTTTGCAAGCGGCTGCTTTTGTACCTCCGTCATGCTTTGCACAGTTGTCCCGATTGTCTCCCCACTGCATGTGGGAAGGGGGGTGCAGCGCCGGTCCCCAAGTGTCCCGCTGTCCGCAGCTAATACTTTGCCCAGTCTAGGTGCTAGTAAGCCCTACTTGTAGTCACACCCCTTCTCCTTATCCATTAGGTCTTTTACGGCCTCTTGGCCGGGTACATTACGTGTTATGTGGTCTCTCACTTATTAGTTATTCTTTGTGTCCTGCCTGTTATATCCTAGTGTTATATAATTACTACACATTTGCACTCGGCCTTAATTCTAGTACCAGTTAACCTTTAGGTTTCTGCAGAATTAGTTTCCATGTCACTATAGGCTAAGGTCTCATACTTACTACGGGTGTACCTTTTAAGTTAAATCTAGTCCTTGGAATTGTTACTGTTAATTCTTACTTTATATATTTACTTTATATATTTACTTTATATATTTTAATATAAACGTTATATATTCCTTAAATTATATTTGAAACTTTGTATATTTACATGTTCAATATTAAGTTTTATATAATATCAACTTTGTTAAGCCTATAATATAAACCGTGTTTAATATAAACTTTATATAATTACTTACTTTATGTGAACTTTATATATTTACATGTTCTGCAGAATTTAATCTTCATTAAACTTTAACGCCCCATACTGCCAGTATCTTTCTCCCCCTGGCCAGAAAATACAAATAATAATTCAAAGAATAATGATTATAATTTACTGAGAACTATCAACGTTTCTCAAAACTAAACTGCGAGCCGTCATTGGGATGTAGCCGATTAATGATGTTCGAATCAGATGGAAAATATTACACAAATTCCTCCTTCAAAAAGAGGTTCCTATGCGCTATACATTTGAGATGGTTCCCAATAGGTACAAACGAATTTTCTTTGTGAACGCACCACCCGTCAAACAAGATCTAAAGATCTAAACGAGCGCAGTACAAAGAGTTAAAATTATTTGAAAATTTAAAAATTCTTATTTCCTATATTAAATTTGTGTTCTTACTAAAACACTTTAAATTTTGAATAATTAGGTTACTTACCTGATAATGCAATTTACATTCAAGGATAAGAAAATACAATCCTTCAGGAAATTTTTTTTTTACTGTGATTCTTGCCAACACAATGTTTCCAAGCAAACTATATATTATTATGAGAATTACATAAATGCATAATGTCTTTATGATAAATGTATTGCAATGACCAATCATATATATACAAATCTATACATTTCAGACTAGTATTCATACATATCTTATTCTAAGAAGCAGACTGAAGAAGATCACACACAGCATCTATCACATTGAAAAGATATGACAGGATAAACAAAACAGGTTTTCACCACTGCCCATTTCTAGGGAGCTAGTGACATCTTAACAATCTCTCCAGTCTAAAACTAATCCCGTCTTACCATTTCTTAATGAACCTGATCCTAGATAAAACGGCATATTAAATAATAAAATTTACGATACATTACCAGGTTATCAAAAAATATATATATAAAAAAAAGAAACGACAATCTTTATACTTCTCAAAAGTATATATATAAAGCTTATAGCTGCAAATACAGATCTTTTCTGCTTGAATAGCAATCACACTATGAAAAGTTGTTATATCAATATATAATAAAACATTTTACCCACATCTTTAAGAAAATTTTACATCAATATATCTGAATATTTCCTGGTATTAGTTCATACAAAATATATCTTATAGATTAAGCACTGATATGGAACATCTGTAACGTTGCCAGCTTTTGTGTTATGAAGCCGAAAGGTTTATGTAAGAACGTTTATCAAAATGTGTGTATTGTGTAGTGTAGTGTAGTGTAGTGTGTGTGTGTGTGTGTGTGTGTGTGTGTGTGTGTGTGTGTGTGTGTGTGTGTGTGTGTGTGTGTGTAAAACCTTAGGAGTGCCAGTGCAGCCACAATGCTCAACTCCCATAACACATCTGGGAAAATATTTGTAAAAATGGCACACTTACAATTAAAACAAAGCTGTAGTGGTATATATTACTGTACTAATGATATTCAACTTGCCGTGAGGTCATCAATCAAAAATGTGTGAAGTGTTAATATATCAGATTAAGTCTTGCAAATATGAACTACAAACTTTATGGAACTTTAGCACCACAGCCAATAACAAGGAAACCTGAAGATCTTGTGCTGTTCACCTCACACAATTTATCACCATCTGTTACAGTCCATCCACAAGCAGCCTCCACTGATCAATCAACTTGTATGCAGACGATGATTCACAATAATGTGGCTGAAGATATGATGACCAAACCACACACCAAAAGATGAGGAGACAGCCTCATCTTCTGGTGTGTGGTCATCAATCTATTCATTTTTTAACAGCTGCAGCACGTGTAATCACGAAGCAGTCAGATGCGTACTTCGTGTCAAGTTATAACTTGTCTAGCTCGGCACATGCTTACAAATTTAAGACAAGATACAAAAATAGCTATTGTATTAACTGGAATGCTGAATGTAATTCTTGCGTGAATTTAGGAGAACATGATGTGCTGCATTCCAAATACTTTATTCCCACCTCTTAATGTACCTATCCTGACTTAGGAAAGTAAAAAGGTAATAAAGTTACTCTTCATTTATATAATGGTCATTCCATTCATAGTTTATATAACACGTTTTGTATGTTAATGATGCATACTTCTGATGCACGCAAACAACTTTACTGGAGGTACTTGTACACTTTGAAGCAATGGTTACCAGAGTCTGCTACAAAAATCTGGCCATCAGGTGTGAGGGTCATCCCCTGCGGGCCGTACAAGGGATCAGCAAGGGTGTTCACGTACGACAAGAAAGATCCCTGCGAGTCAAACACCTGAAACACAAACAAAAGGGTAGATAACATGCTGTATTTTCACAACTACTTTGACATCTTTAAAGTTCAACCCAGCTATGCATATACAGTAATATTACACTGAAATTGCTAAGTGAAAATATCAGGTTACAGTATTTATGATAAACTGACCATGTGAAACACCCATATCCAAAAATGTTGAAAAGTGCCTTTCTGAGCAGTTATATAATCATACTGGCTTAGTGCTTTATCCTGATAATTAGCTTTCGGGCCAGGGAACTACTGCTTTCTACTTGTCCATTGTGCAGACTCTTCATGGTGGACAGTCATCCAGCATGGAATGACCTCAAGATGGTTCATTCCAACAAGATCAAAGCCCCTTCCAAGTACTAATTGTTATAAAAGGAACTGCTAAATAATGCTCACAAAACTACCTCTTGGCTCACCTGGCCACTACCTTCAACTGCCACCAGAGCATAAAATATAAACAGTAGTTCCTTCTGCCTCGAGCCTAGTCAAATTACCAGATTCCTTGAAGAGGTGGGCATTGTGGAGTTTGACACTGTTGGTATCAAAACACAGTACTGTATTGTACACCCACTTATTGTAACAGTTTTCTTCAACAAGTCTGAGTAGTGTCTGAAGTTTATCTGACGTGTTTGTTTAATGTTCTTATGTGACACAAGCACTGTTTGCACTACTGACACTGCTAGCATACCGATGTTTGGAAACCCTCACATTAAAGTTTTGCCATGCGTCGCATACACATGCTTTGCTTTGTCCTAAAATATTGCAAAGTATTGCATAAACTTCCATGATGGTGACTGTTATTGCTCTGCTTCTGATGAAGGTGTTGATATACATGTTTTTGTGCATTTCCCTATAATTTCTCTGCTGCAAGTGATAGTGGTGTTTACTGTCTGTTCTGCTGAAAGAATCAGCCATTGTTCTCGTTCTATTTTCCTTGTGATGCTGTCGATTTTTTCCTGCTAACTTTTTACCTTCTCTAATTCAATAAAAGAGGTTATTTAAGATTAAGGAATAAATTTATGATATACTAGCTCCCATCTTCAAAGGTTGGTTTGAGTGCCCTAGTCAGTATTGAAAATTTTAAATTAAGGAAAGCATAATGGGTTGGTATTGTCATTATGAACAAATGGCTAAAAAGAAGTGTGTATTTAAGTGAATATAAGAGGTAGGAGGAGGCCAGGACAAAAAGGAGAGGAGGAAGACATGTAAAATGAACGTGTCAAGCAGAAAGGACCGAGTGCACCCAGCATTGAATAAGCAGTTAATAGTAAGCTAAACTAATTAACTACTTAAACAATCAATTTAAATAAAGATTTCTCATTTTAAAACATTAAAAACATTGCCTGAGAAGCAATTTGCATTCAGTTGTATAAAGCAGTGAGAATGTGACACCACTGAGACTACATGATGCTATGTAGTGCAGAAGACTGCGTTTGTGTAAGAGCGCATGCACATCTATTTGCAGGGTTTTTTCTTTAATACTTTCACTTTTTTATTACTGTTCATTCTCTCTCCCTCTGTCTCTTACAATGCACCTTAAAAATACTGTCACAACTACATCCCTATATCCACATCTTAAACATTATTTCAAAATACTGTAATATGATGATTTATGGAAATCCTACCTGAATTCTGGAGTTTCCCCAATCGGCAACAATAATATTATCATTCGAGTCTACTGCGATACCAGTTGGAGCATTAAACTGCCCGTTGCCCTCTCCACTTGTACCAAAGGTAAACAAGAAGTCTCCATCACTGTCAAACACCTAAAACAAATAAAAAACAATTAATAAGCTAACCTTGATTTTTCAGTATTTTTTAAATCAGATCTATTGGTCTCACGATGCAATATCTCATCCAGAAAACTTGCAGTCACATTCTGATTGTGTTATAACACTGGCACTGGCATTCTGCTTGCTTGCCCAAAGCAACCACAAGCACCTCTCTCTCTACTTGGAATTCTTGTTTGATATTTACGTAAATTAGACAATGATACAATGGAATAATCATAGGGGTTAACCAGTATACTAGTACAGTATATTAAAGGGAAGTTACAATTAATACTTAAAGTTATAGATAGTTTGTTAATATGACAATCATAGACATACTAATTACCTAATTATATTTATCTCTAACCCAAAGGCAATGATTGAAATATGTAAATAAATTTGAATACTAAGAACTGATTCTTACAAAACAGTTCAAATATTACAAGACCAGACATGAGGTTTGCTCACTCTTCCACGCCACACCACCCTCCACCTCGCTGCCTTCAAGTCACCACTCTCTTCCTTCCTTGCTCTTTACTCCATAATTTGCTGACTCGGGAGATATGAATGCGTTGCCTCATCTGATAATGGTGGTGGCCACCATTATTTATATAGGTTACAAACAAATCTTAAATTTGCGTTGGCACTCCCAGGGTCTGTTGCCCTCATCTCAGGACCCTCTCCATACCAAATGTTCACCAAAAAACATTGGTGAACATCTTATAACAGGCTTGACCGTTAGTGTTATTGACTCGTAAATGTTCTCTAATGAATGAAGTTAGCTATTATTGCAGACTGTTTAAATCATATACCTCGCAACTAGACCTTAGCACACCATGTAGCCAAAATGCCACACTTTCTAAGCCTGGCTACCTGGCACAGGCCAGGCCAGCCTGGCCTGTGCACCATTTCATATACAGTGTGACCTAGATTTACCACTTTCCTATTTACTAAGATTCTCAGGTTAATTTGAGAAGAAATAAATTTGTTCAAATCAAAATTTACAAGATTTTATCTGATATCTTGATATTATTTTCCCAGCTTAACACAAAAACTATTTCCTGAATAATAAGGTCGTCACTGTGGTGGCCAGCACTTATTATTTTCAGCAAGCCTAATCAAATAGCTTATCAAAATTATATTATTCTAAGTAAATTAAACAAAAAAGATGTTTCTTAGCCTTAAAAATTCTTAAATGAAAATTGAAAGATTGCATCTGCATGGATTTGGTGTACATGTTTATAATGATAAGAGATTTGTTCCCCCACCACCATAAATAGTGGACGTCAATACCTAAAACTGTTTACTTCAATCTCTCTACTACAATAACCACTACCTTATTGCAAGTAACACAAAAGATGGCAGAAACAATACGCATTAAAAACACCAAGTTACAAACTTATGCCACATTTAGTATCTCTTCCTATCTATTAAGCACAAATTTAACTACACACAAGCAAAATCTCACCTTAACACAGTGGTTGTGGAAGTCAGTGATGGCAATATGGCCTCTGCTGTTTACCGCTGCAAAATGAGGGCCAGCAAAGTGATATTCATCGGTTCCTCGGTTGCCAAACTTGGTTATTAGTTTCCCAGATTGTTGAAAAATGCACACACATGATGCCTTGTTGTCCACAACAATGATATGACCATTGTTATCTACACAAACACCTTTTGGACCTAAGCAGAAACAAAATATTATTTATAGAAATCCAGTTGTACAATGAGATCACAATAATGTGATGAATCTATGAGAAAGTATGGTAGCCATACAATGGGATCAAACCCACTGAAGACAGGGTCTGTGCCTAGGGAGTTCAGGTACATACACAGGTTCGATCCCATCGTACTGCTACCACATTTTACTCGGTAATCCACTTATTCATTATGTACTGTATCATGTAAATTTGCCATTAAAGTAATAATCTGAAAGTCTTTATGAAATGTAACATTGAAGAAACAAATTGATAAAGACAAATTTTCAACATTTCTATACAATTTATTTTGCTCAAAATTGAAGTAAAAGTATTACAAATGAACATTTTCCAACAAGTACCGCAACTGCGGTGCTCTATTTTAAAACTCACCCAACAGCTTTCCGTTACCAATTCGGTTAATGTATTTCCCAGAAGGTTCAAAGATAGATACCCACTTGTTCTCATAATCTGCTACAACATAGTTCCCATTTGGTAAAGCAGCCACTCCAGTCGGCCTCTGCATCTGACCAATTCCACGACCTCGCACACCAAACCTATTCAGAAACACAAAAATATGGCTTAATTAAAATATGGCAAATCCTAAACATGAAACTACATTAAGATTTGTTACAATATTTTGAATGTCAATAGGACAATGCCAAAAAATTAACAGGATGGATGTAAAGGAATAAATAAATTATATTAATAAATGACTAAATGGCTGTAGGAATAAATGACAATGGCTGTAGATTTGGTAATTTTCATAAATGGAGGTTTTGCATTACCAATACATAAGTATATATGGTACAGGTGTGAATAATTAAAGAAGAAAGTAATTGTGTGCTTATGGAGAGAAGCATGTTAATATGTGATATACAAAATCAATAAGAGGAATTTGTGGAGGTTTGTCAGAACACAACAGAGTTATGTAAGACAAGATTGGGGGGTGTAGTGGTGATGGCACCTCGCAAGAATTCAAGTCGTAATAGATTATAAACATGGAGAAATTGCCTATGAAATAAACAAATTGTAAATGGGTTAGCATAATGAATGTAAATTATCCCAGAACAAAGTAAATTATTCTACTAGAAAAGGCTTAAGGTATCAGGGGCCAACAATTTAAAGCTGAAAATGCCACAAATGTACAAACAATGTCGTACACAGACATTGATGTCGTAAGACAGACAAAAGGTGACGTACTTCACCAATAGGGGCATAAACCCATGGCATCTCCTATCTGCCCAAACCATATCAAGGCAGTGCCAGAAATTACAATATGCAGCTGGAAAAATCCTTGGGAAGAATAGATGACCTGCCACTGGATACTTCTTGTCGTTGAAAGCAATAGAAACTCGGATTAAGATAAAGTCTACTGAAACTCAGGAAGTTAGTTCTAGGAAAAGCAAACTATCGAGACATTCAGTTTTAACATTCATAATTTAAGCACCATGATATGCATGTATTTACACATTGGAAGTGAAGTTAGCCTTACCTCAACTTACACTCCCCAGTGATTGTAAAAACTTGGACACACTGGTTATTAGAATCCGCCACTGCAATGCGACCATCTTTGAAGTTACTGAATGCAATACCCTGCAATAAGACAAATAGAAAAATCTCAAAATAACGAACATTAACGAGTATACAAACTAAAGAAATTTCATAATAAATATTAGTGATGGAAAGAACCCATGTTCAGAACAGTTTACAACTACAAGTAGCTAATAAATTAAAGACGGTGGTTATATTGCTTTGAGTAATCTTTTACATTACCTGAGGATTAACAAATTCTCCACGATTGCGTCCCCTTCGTCCAACTCTTAAAAGCATGTCATCTTCAATGGGGTTAGTCCGGCGGGAGCATGATGAACGATGTGAAAGAGGTCTTCGAGATGTTCGTGACGTTCTTGACGTCACCTGCAATCATTTTCTTTAGTACTTAACAAATAAAATCAAAATGAGGATGGTATCTGGCAAAATAAAATAAACAATTAACTGGGATTATTAAGTCAATATGATACAAATTCTCATAATGAATAAATACACAATTGTTGTGCAAAAGACAACAAATAAAATGTTTCTTATACAGTACTACAGATAATTCATGCATATTTAGCCACTGTATTACCATATGTGTGAGGTTAAACACACACACTGCTCTGTACCTTACAATACTCGGTTAACAAAGCAAAAACCCGAGATGGGTTTCAGGTGGGTTTAGTTTGCTCCCCAAAGCTAACCGAGTAATCTGATCATAAGATCAAGTCTACCGAGGATGGCCTTCCATGGAAATTACTGGCCAGTCTCCAAAAGATAAACACCTGCTTGTGGATTGGGAAAATAAAATGGTGTCTCCCCCAAATACAGCTCTTGTCTGGAGCATACATACACTAAACCTATCCTCATACTGCAAACAAACATCCAAGGCATTATCAGTATTCCTGGCAAAGTTTAAACCCCCTCAAGAACATTCATCCCATCATACACCACACCAAACAGCATTCATATTTAACACTGACATGACACTGTAGATGTGCAACTTTTGATTTTTTTATATTTCTTCCACAGTATACAAAATTATATGCGGTATATAAATATCTAGCACAAAATGTTACGTTAATTTCCTATTAAAATTTACACACATACTGTACTGTGATGATTACTAAAAATGATACACGTGGCATACCTGTGTGGAGAGAGAGGTCTGCCTGGCCAAAGTGTGAGGAGGAACTGAGCGTTGGCTGCTGCCACTGTCATCTTCTAGAGCAGCTGTAGCGGCAATTGTGAAAGGGCTACCATTGATTGGCTGCCCATAAAGAAGCACTTCTAGTGAATAGGTTCCTTCTGTGTGTACTGTAAAGGCCACTTCATAAGTTCCATTGTTCAGATCTAGTACTTGGGGTTGGCAAAGTTCCTCCCGTGATCCAGAAGGACTTTTGCTGGAAGAGCGTGGAGATAAGGAGGCACGTGGAGAGTTTGAGCCATGACGAGGCACTATAGTGCTCGTTCTTGATATTGCAGCCGTGACCTCGGCACCACCGCAAACGGCCTTCTCCCCTTTGTGGTCCCTAGTTACTACTGTTACAATGGACCCTCGACTCACAGTCACCTGAAACAAGGGTATGCATTTTTTAACCAGCTGATCAGTGAGTAAGCAACTACTGTGTATCTAAATAACAGAAGATTATGTGAATTCAAGCATCAGTTCATGTGAAAAAGTTATCAATTTGGATTAGAACACATGGATGGGTAATGAACAGCTACCATGGAAAACTTTTAAAAAGAAAAATCTTTGGTAAGCAGGACACCCAGAGTACAAGATGATCTGGATAACTGGGGTTGTACTGTAGTCTGTAAAGTGCAATGTAATATGAATAAAGTACGAGAATAAACCGTAAAGCATACCTGACGTAGAGCCTCGCCTGTGGCACTTGTCTGGTGAGGCACAGCACTGTTGCTTTGGATGCTGCCTACATGCAAGAAGGCAGTTTTAAGTGGATCTATGTTGCCAACAACAAACCTATACAGAAAAAAAAAGTGTGATTCCATTAAATTCTATTCAAGTAGATTTTTGCTCGTCATTGCATTACTCCATTTCCCACATTCAAAGAATGGAGAGTTATCAGAGATATGAATGTGACGCTTTAATGTCTCGCTGGACTCTGTATACATTCACCCTTTTTGTTGGAAATGAGGTGGATCAAACCTAGCAGCTCTTCATCTCATGTGTCACCACAAGTTACATGTAATGTGGAGAGACAAACTTTTTCAACCCTGTTAAATCACACCACCATCAGTGTTTGCACTAACCCGATTCATTGCATGATTTACACCAATTGTTGTCACATACAAAATACCCCAAATAGCTATGATTTGTAATTACTGTATGTGGTCAATATATTTTACAATATCCCTTTCTCTCATTGGCTTCAACCAACATCTTCAGAGTTTCCCTCAGTAACAACAATTACATAAAAATACTGTATATATATACAGTATATATATATACTGTACACACAAAACCCAATATGTGAATAAGTCATGTATGGATATATGGATTGATAAGCAGGTGGATATGATGAAAGGTTCCCAACACACACAAAGGCAAGTTAAAAACAAACTCACTTGAGGTGGCTATTCTCACGCGGAGCTGGAGGCACATTCATGTTAGCGTAATCCATTAGCCGTTCGCCCAGTTGTTTCCTCACTAAAACAACCTCCATGGCTGGGCAATGGGTCAGAGCTTTCTCTACAAATTCACATCCACTCTCCACGCCTCTCACCCACGATTCCAGTTCTTCGAGCTGATTACCTAAAGTATTCAAAATGCAGAAATGGCTGCATTTATAAATAATTACTTAGTAACAACATATACAGTACAATTAAAAATTAAATAGACAAAATTGTATACAACGCAAACAAGCATAACATAATGCAAACAACTGAAGAGGAGCTCTGATAAAGTTCGTGTGAAAAACTAAAGCTTGTCAATAAAAGTTTTAAATTAGATGCACTTGAACTGTAAAAATAATAAACATTTTACCTAAGGTCATTTGCTTTTCCGACTCAATCGAGTTAAGGGAGTTTATGAGGGCAGTTTGTCTCTTGTCGAGTAATTCATGGAGGGTCTCAAAGCAATTGCGAACCTCCTTTTCTGCTTCTCCTCTCCTCTCCTGGAGACTGTGGCACACATCCTGGATATCACATATGGCCTCCTTCATGCAAGGTAGCTGCAATGGGAATTTATACTAGTTTATAAATATACCCAGCTATGTGTTGATTGTTCCCTATCAAGATATACACAGTATGTCAAAGCTGTCTCATCTCCAAATGTGAGAAAGTTGGTGAAATGAGTACACAGAGGGGGGGGGGGCACTCTGGGGTGTGCACATCTGCAGAGTGCACCACAATACAAGCAGCAGTTTATAATAGAGTAGGATAGCACAGACAATTACTATTCAGTTCCCTGGCTAAAATCACTTTTCTATAAAATTATGCTTCTAACCTGCATTGTTACTCTGTCAATAAGTTGATGCATAGCTGCTCTATGTTCATCCACAGCATCTGTGAGGTGCAATGTATTGTGCGCTCGATGCTCTATATCAGTGCAGCTGCTACACACAGCCGTCTCACAGTCACGACAGTAGAAACGCAAAGTTTGTCCTGAGAATATTAAGATTAAAATGATAAACAATTTACAGTATAAATATAGTGCCATTGCCTACAAGTACAGCATAAATAGTTTCAAGCTCAACAAGCCACAATGTAGGACAATTCAGTAGACGCTTCTTCACCCGCAGGATTATAAACCCACAGAACTGCCTACCTGCCAAAGCCATAAATGCCAAAATGCTACTGCAATATAAGATCCAAATAGATAAAATCATCAGGACAAATGGGGGAACCTTTGACAAGCCACTGGCTTCCTGTCCTCATCAAGACTATTAGAGATACGGTGGCCCTCGGGTAAATTCAGGTAAATTATGCACAGCATGAGTAGTCATGGTTTACTCTATTACAGGAATATTAAATAATTATTCGAAGGTTCAAGCAGTACAGTAATACCTCTCACATAGTACTTAGAAAACGAAAATTTATCCAATATTTTTAAGAGTACTGTGTTTAACCTGTCTGTGACATACATTAATGTTTCCCCATTGTCGTGTTTTCAAGAGATCCATAACCTTTAAGCACTTTTTGTATCAACCCATGTATATCTTGTAACCATTAATACATAATAAAGCACAAAAAAATACAAAAGGAAGGGATGGTAGAAGAAAAGTACACAAACTGTATTGGAGGGGACCACTGGAAGTAGCGGATTGTGTTCTTAGTAGTAGTACAGTAGTTCTAAGTAGTTCCTCTACTTAGAACTTCCCCGCCCAATTACAAGTCTGCTACTAATTCTCCATAATTTAGAAGGTGTGTATGTGTTGAAGATTGAGAGTCTTGGACCCCTTTAATGTTTATACAATTATCTTAAGTAAATTTATTAAATTTCCAATCATTAATGGGCTTATTATGCACCTCCCACCCCTTCTTGCTGGTGTTTTAGTAATTCTTTATGGGTGCAGATTTGAAACAGGACACTTATTTTATTGATATAAATTGTGGAATGACACTCGCCTGCATTCTAGGAAATGTAGTTCTTGGGATTTAACGATACCTAATATTATGGGACTTAATTAAATGGAATCATGCAGTAAATGTTTACTGCGCGTTCTCAGAGTTAGTAATTCTACCAGTTTTAAATAGAGTAGTTAATGTGCAGCAGTAATCCACCCTAATGTGTGCAGACTCAAAGAACAAAAACAAAAAAAATGCCCCCTGGCTTGGCATCTTGCCCAGGGCCAAGATTCAACAAGCATTTACTCAACTACTGACAAACCTGTACTTCTTTTCTCAGTCTTTGGCACCTTTGTTCACAATCACAACCGCTTGCATGCACCAGCTACAGTAAAACTGACAGTACTCGGCCAAGCTTGCTGGTATCAAATACAAGTGTAACACTTGTACATTTCTTCAATATTTGTGATAGTTTTATTAAATTCTTACATTTTTGTTCGCATTAACTTAAAGAGTGGTGTACGGGATGCGAATATGTCTGCTGACAGAGTTTGTGTGTGTTATCAGATGAACTTCAGCAGGTAGAGCCAATTCCCAGAAGATACTTGTACCAGGGCTTCAGTCTAGTGGTAGCTAGTAATCTATACGTCTGCTGACCTTACTAGATAACCCGTTGTCTCTCCTCCTGCATAGTAGTATGATATAAACATCATTGAAGTTTATATCATTGACAATTTCACTATCTCGGGTCTCTTAAATGCTGTTGCAGTTCTCGGTATATTACGGCTTTAAGACTGTTCAAAGGCAATCTCGGGTGATCATCAGCTCCCTTCTAAGGTTTAGCCATTTGTTCTGGCTAAACCATCAGTTCAAACATGCATCCCAAATCCAATACGGGATGGGATCTTTAAACTTAACCCTTGTAATGTCTCTCTAGGTAAATTCCCTTACATAGGCCTATGTATGTTAAAGTACTGTACATAGAATGTAACATTTGAAGTTCCTGTTATTTTCTATCAGGGACGTGGCCATACAATGCTAAACAGCGCATAGCTTTTCATCTGTGCTACACAGACAGGGTTGGATAGCGACATTGGGGCTTGTGCCGAGTCATTCTCATAACGATTAGTATCTTGCTGGGGGGGGGGGGGTGAGGCTTGGCACAGTTGGATGTATCAGCCATGTAACTATATTGAAGTTACATACAACACAATATATATATATATATATATATATATATATATATATATATATATATATATATATATATATATATATATATATATATATATATATATATATATATATATAACACAAATGTCACTATTAATAGTGTGACAACAGCTGTGAGCGCGCGCACACTTCTCACCAACAACACTTTCTTAATGGAACGCACATAAAAAATATTTTTTTAATATACACATTTGTGTATTTAGAGCACTACAGCTTCCACTTTAAACAAACGTCTTAAAATGCGTCACTCGCGTGCTCTTAAAAAAAAAATAAAAATAAAATAGTCTAGGCTTTCTCGGAAATACACCTACTATGACTAATACAAAATTATATATGTATTTATTATAACAAATAAACCTCACCCTACACAGAGTGATCAAAGGGTTTTTAGTTAAGATACAGCAACATATGAACCACTTGAAACGATCTTCATAATTTTTTGTTGGGAATGAACATTCCTGAGAACAATGAAGACCCCCCCCCCAAGAACATTCCCATGTTGGGGGGGGGGGCAATAATTCGGGCTACCATTTACACGTTCACCGTTACCATTATCGTGCACCACCTAAATGGAAGGCGTTGAGAGGGGCTCACCGCAGGAGGTGGGCTGGACGAGGTGGCTAAGCCAGGGGTGGACGGCAGCCATGGCGAACACACCCCGACTTTCCCAGAACAGCTGATCCTACGTCAACACGAGGCATGATGGCGGGAAGACGCGTTTTCTCTCGTGTCCAACAGTGACCATTTTCTTTCTCGCCGTGTAAGATAAACTACTATATTTCCTTTACCACTACCAGGTGTAAAGCATGGGAGACATCTCCCGTCACGCAGGGTGCCGTCACACCTCCACAGATCTCCAGTATCATCTCTTGATACTGGTAATGGCTCAAAAGGGCCACCACTTACGGGCTATTCATGCCCGTGCCACCTTTTGGGTGGCTTAATCTTCATCAATCAATCATCAGGTGTCAAGATCTGGCACACTGCTAGAACGCTCCTAAGGCTCGAAAAATCTAACTTAGCTTTATCGGGATCCATCTAGAAATTATCGTGACCTTCACACCTGTATATTACCCACAACAGTTCGTCTAACTCCTGCGCACCTATTTACTGCTAGGTAACGAAGTAGCCCACATACAGGAGCCTCTTACCTTGATGAGACGGGCAGTAGAGAGTGGTTTGGTCATCATGGTAGCCATTGGTGTCTGGCGCGCCTCCGTCCCCGTCTGACAGGCTCACCACACTGTGGTTCTCGCTCCCGGAATCCTGACAACACACCATGCCAGTTAATCAACACCAATTGGACCATTAAATAAAAAGTGTGTGACGAACATCTAGGGAAAACACTTCAAATATACAGTAAGAACGCTAGAAAATAATGCAACAAAGTTCAGTGTATGAATCAAGTTCAAGTATGTTTATTGTGACGATAAAATACATCAAAGGTTACAGTGGGTTAAAGAATACAGTAGCTTAGACTATTTCTACCCTCCTCTACTTCAAGTTCCTCAGAGGGCGCACAAATCCAGCGAGTACAAATCCACAAATCACAGTACAAGAATCACATTTAACATGGCAGGTTAATATAGTAAACACAACGTGTGTGTTGCATTCATGGGGCAAAATGCTTGTAGCATTCTAAGTATTCTGTCTATCATACCATTACCACACGTCCATCTGTGTGAATATTGATGAAACACTCGCGAATCCAGTTTTCTTTCTTTATTGCTCGGCTGGCACTCATAACTAAGCGACCCCCCCCCCAATGTCTCTATGTGTGTTATTGTGTGGCTGGATTATATGTCTCAACAAGGAGCATGGCACTATGAAGCATACCGGGGAGCATGGCACTGGTGAGCGTGGCTCCAGGGAGCATGGCACTGGAGGACGAGGCTGCGAAGCTCTCCTACTAGCAAGCACCGCTCCAGGACTCATCTTGAAGTGCCTCTTCCCGTCCTCGACACGTCTGCAACACTTTCCATGCACTCTCCAATTTTATATTTCTCCTCCTTTACCTGGAGTATACCTAGAGGAGGTTCTGAGAGTTGTTCTAATCCCCCAAGCCCGACCTGGGGGCAAGGCTTGGCTTGATCTAGGCTGCTTGAAGCGGCCCGCTGGCTCACGTATCCACTACAGCCTGGTTAGTCCAGGACTTCCTGTAGGAACTAGTCTAATAATTTGTCTTGAACACAACTACTTTTGTTCCAGTAATATTCTTCACACTATTTTGTATTTAATTATCGTTTGTCAAATAATGTTGAATCATACCAGTTGAAAACTGAGGCAGACACAAGACCGCATTATGGAATAGCGTCCGCAACTGAAATATCCATCCTGGCCCAATGCATTACATTATAAATGTTGCCGCAACACCTTTTTCGATGTAACCGAGCGATTTCATAATGATCGTGCTGGAGAGTTTCCGGTAACTGGTACACTACGGGCGGAGGGACGGAGCAAGGCAGGTGGCGAGGTCCGGACACGGTGGGTATGTGTGTCTGCGGCGGTGATCAGTACAGTACTGGGCCCTCACAGCATCATCCCCCTCTACACTACACGCGCGCGCACTCATCTCCTTCACCACCACGGACACCCCACCTTCATGGAGCTATACTTTGTTCTATATGCCACTCTTCTGAGGCATACAACTATACAACATGATCTATGTTATAGTGTCTATATATGTTTATAGGGGGGGGGGACTTCGCCAATTGTTTTTAAATATGCTGTTTGGCATTCGTTTGGCGAGTGAGTGAAGGGCTGCAGTGGTGGTGCGAGAGGTGCAGTCTGCACATGGCAGCATCTTGACTGTGGCAAACTCACACATCTTATTGTCACCCCCACCATGTCTTCTAAAAAATGGGGGGAGGGGGCGTGTCTCAGAATGGGATAGGGGGGCGTCAGAATGGGAGAGGGAAGGGGGGTGACTGTCAGAATGGGAGAGGGTGGGAAGGGGGGTGAGTGTCAGAATGGGAGAGGGTGAGTGACAGAAGGCGAGGAAAAACAGAGACGCGAGGGAGAGAAAGGAAGGGGCGTGGCAACACGTGGGGGGTGAGGGGAAAGGGAACAATGATGGGACAGAGCCACAACGTATAAGGTATTAACCAGGCGTATTGATCTCAACCCCGTCCCCCACCCCGTCTGTGCCAGCCTGCTCCCTCCCATCTCCTCCATTCCGGGACGGGGACAAAACACAGACGACAAATTAAATACGAGGAAGAGGAATTAGAAGAAAGGCATAAGTGAAAAAGTATAACGAGAGAGACTCTGATAAACAGAGAACACAAAAGATCAAATAATTAAAGAGGGGGGTAATAAAACCAAATATCAGTGTAGACGAAGAACTAGAAATATAGAAGAGGGAGAAACAGAATATGATCGATTATATGTAAATACAGACGTAAAGAGGGGAGGGAAAGAGGGGGAGGAGAAGGGGAGTAATTGAAAAATACAAATGAATAGCTGAGAGAAGGGAGATTATGGGGGTGGGGGGGGGGATGCTGGAGAGATGCCATAGTTACCAGCATCTGTTGTAGTCCACGGGGCTTGGCGCGCGCGCGCACACATGCCGTGTCCCAGGAGCTTGATCTTAACCCCCGAAAACACAACTACGCAAGTGATTAACGCTGCGGCAGGAACCTTAAGCAGGGTTATAAGAGGCTGCAACACGAAGCCCACGTATGTCATGACTGTCTTGGGCAAGCCTGAGTCGACCAGCGTCTTGGGCAAGCCTTAGTCGACCAGCGTCTTGGGCAAGCCTGAGTCGACCAGCGTCTTGGGCAAGCCTGAGTCGACCAGCGTCTTGGGCAAGCCTGAGTCGACCAGCGTCTTGGGCAAGCCTGAGTCGACCAGCGTCTTGGGCAAGCCTGAGTCGACCAGCGTCTTGGGCAAGCCTGAGTCGACCAGCGTCTTGGGCAAGCCTGAGTCGACCAGCGTCTTGGGCAAGCCTGAGTCGACCAGCGTCTTGGGCAAGCCTTAGTCGACCAGCGTCTTGGGCAAGCCTTAGTCGACCAGCGTCTTGGGACAGTAATGCCTTGGTTACGAGAGACATGCTAACCAGGGCCAGCATCCTTCAAGCATTTACTCAACCACTTACGAAACCTCTACATCTTTCCACAATCATGGCGGCTCATCTGAATTTATTAAACAGTTTAATGAGATCCGAAGCACTACGAAAATGTCCATGCAACACCCTTAGGTTGCGACGTTCTGTAGCTCGTCAATTGTTAAAGCAAACCAAGCCACCGTGATTAAGAAAAAATGTACAGGCTTCGCAAGTGGACACGTATGAATCCTGGGCCAAGATACTTCGGCAGGAGATAAGGAAATATAGATCGCAGGGCCTCGCGGAAATAAGAAACAGGATCCTTGACGAGGAAACACTGAGAGACTCTAGCAGTCACCCACGACGCCAGCTGTGTCAGGTTATAATGTAAACCCCCTGTAGCCTCGGCCCAACACTTGACACCTCTGCGACGCGAGGACGTCCATGTGACACCCCCGCGACGCAAGGACGTCCCCGTGACATCCCTGCGACGCAAGGACGTCCTTGTGACATCCCTGCGACGCAAGGACGTCTCCGTGACACCCCCTGCGACACAAGGACATCCCCTGTGACACTCCCGCGACGCAAGGACGTCCCTGTGACACCCCCGCGACGCATGGACGTTCCCGTGACACCCCTGCGACACAAGGACGTCCCCGCGACACCCCTGCGACGCAAGGACATCCCTTGTGACACCCCTACGACACATAGACGTCCCCGTGACACCTTCAGGGCTTGAGCGTGAGGAGCGGCAGCATGCCGTGTGCAAGGGGCGGTCAGTGAACCACCATGGCCAGTGTGCCATTGATGGTTTTCACGCACACTATTGATCACTACCTTCCTCCCGTGGCCAAGCTGTCTACACACCACCATAAGGCGAGTGGGGTGCAGAGTAGGGGAGGGGAGACAGACACAGAGACAGACAGACAGACAGGCAGATAAAGACAGAGACAGGCAGATAAAGACACAGAGACAGAACATTTTGCTTATATTTGCACTTACAGCAAAATAGTTTGTTAGCCTCCAACCCTAAATTAATTAAATGGTATTCATAAATATTGATATATATAATGTTCACACATTACAGTTCACTTACCCAAGTGGTAATAACAGCATAACGTGCTAGAATTATATGCTGTGTAAGCTTACTTAAGACAGCGATGTTTAATTAAGGCTGACTGCTAGCTATAAGTATGGTCAAGACTCTGGTCTTAAGAATCCTAGGAGGAATGGTAGCGTTTAGGGAGGTTCTTGTCCATCTGACTCATTCAACATGTAATTGTTCCCGTGTTCTAACGACGCCTCGCTTCTTGCAGATCCGTGTTCGATCCCCGATGGTGTAAGTGGTTAGGCACCGTTCCTTCCCTCCGTGTTATCCCAGATTCTTGTCTTTCAAATGCCTTCCAAGGGGCCAGAGAGTCATATGAACTTACCTCCCACGGGAATTAAATTCATGATTTGCGCTTAATGTTAACTTAGGTGTATTCTTAACTTGGAACCGACTTGAGAAAAGGACTTACCTGAGTGTGGGACTTGGCACAGGCGGCACACAGCAGGGTGTGGCACTGGTGGCAGCGTGCGGCAGGGTCACGGGTCTCGCAGTGGGTGCAGGGAGAGTGGTTGGCGGCACCATCCATAGCTTCCATCACTCCTCGAACCCACGTGTTGCTCTGGAGTCCCGGCACCTGCAGGAGCTGGTGTTAGTTACTCTCTCCTCCACCCTCTCTCACCACCCCCTGGCCCCATCCACCTCCCGCTACACCACCAGCCCTCAACCATACATAAAGAAGTACCTCAATACCAGGTACCCTACACCCGTACCCGTAACTCTGACTTCCGCCTTTTAATTCACACTAAGCAAAAGCTTGCACACTGAGTAACAATTAACACTAATAAGCAAAGCTTCCATACTGAGTTATAATTTACACATTAACATGAATATGAAAATTGCTAATTCGTCTAATGATTAGGCTCGTCGTATTCAACATTTCCTGGGTAGCCTACAGCACTTAAGATGTTAGGCGGGTGCAACTTAACAAGCACTCTTCACAGAACTGATTACTCGCCTCATCTGTGGCTCTAAGCATTGCTCGTTACTCTACCCTCCTTACAGATTAAACCCACGTTTGTGTAGTGTAAATCATCAGTGCTCTATGAATTGTTTATCCCATCAGCACTTCTCCCTCTCTTTCCCCCCCAGTTCTTCCCTTCCGTAACTCCCTCCCCCAGTTCCGGCCCTACCTTCGGCAGCCTCCCTCTCCCCTCGTCCCCAGCGCTTACCCCGTCCTCTGGAAGGATAGACTGCTGACGACAGACAGGGCAGGTGAGGGTGAGGGACTCCGGAGGGGTGTAGCTGATGAGGCACCTCTCGCAGAAGGTGTGCAGGCACGGCAACACCTGTAATACAATCACAATCACTACACCTACACATACCACAATCACTATACCTTCACAGGTCCGCCGCCCATCAGCCGGTGCGTGAGGAACAATGTACACGATATAGTCCTATTGTATCGTGTATATTGGTGACTATACATTGCGTACGTGTACAATGTATAGTCACCTATATACACCAACACTTGGATGAAAATATGCACAGTTTAATCACAACAAGGTGGCGATGTACCAATCCAGCCCGCGTCCCTGGATGCCACATTTGGCATTAGGGAGGGTTAGGACGGGGGAAGGGGGGGAGGCATGGTACAATAATAATACAAAAATGATTGATTTAGGATATAACATGGAAAAGAAAGATTATTATAATTGTTGATTTTCATTCAGCGGCCTCCAGTGTGACCAAACTTCCCACTGGAAGCGTTCATCACCACTGTGGTAGTTCCAGTGTGGTAGTTCCAGTGTGGTAGTTCCAGTGTGGTAACTGTCTCGGGGAACACTTCCTATAATGACCGTCTCGGCCCAACTCAACCACCGTCTCGCTGCAAACCTCAGTACATCAAGCACAATGTTTCCAAGAACTTAGTTTATCAACACTCATGACGACACTTCAGGAAACATTTAGATTTCGCAGTAAAGTATAGAGCACAATGACGTGCACACAGCACGCCAGTCGTGCTCCGTACGTGCCGCCCACAAGTGGACTGCACTGAATTAAGCTGCGGAAGCCACCTCCATCTACAAATTTAAGGCCAGATTTGACAAAATTTCAACGTCAAAAGGCTAGCAAGCGGGGCATATAGAGTAAGATACCTGCTTGATGGGGTTCTGGGAGTTCTTCTACTCCCCAAGCCAGGCTTGACTTGTGAGAGTTCTCTTCCCCTGTATCCACTGATGTGTGTGTCTACGGGGGAGTAGATAGTAGTACTCATAGGTAGGGACTCTGTCCCTTGGCACCCTGACTCACTCTGATGTTGAAGTCACACTGGGGGCGCTCAACGGCACCGCGAGTCTTCACACTACAAGGAATACACGTGTCTGCCGCCTCGTGGTGCTGCTGTAAGCCGGCCATGGCACTCTGGTCAGCTCCGGCCGTGGCACCGTAGTTGGCGGCGGCCATGGCCTGGTATTGTGGTAGTTACAGGAGGGGTTGGCGGGGCCCAGAGGTGTGGTAGACGCGATGGGTGAGGGAGCACTAGCACCCACAGCAGGGTAGACACGACTCGCCAACGCTGGGACAGTGTACTGCTGCTGCTGCTCAATGCTCACACACGCCGTAAATTATCCCTCCCCCCTCACCCACTTACCCTCCCTTGTGTGAGACTCGGTTACTAGTTCGCCCCCCACAACACCCCTTCCCCCACCTCAACACACAAACCATATATATGTGTGTACTCCCCGGGTTGTGCTTGTGAAGGGGTTGAGCTTCGACTCTTTGGTCCCGCCAAAAAACTATCAATAAACCGGTGTACAGGTTCCTGAGCCTGTTCGCCTCTATCATATCTACATTTGAAACTGTGTATGGAGTCAGCCTCCACCACATCACTGCCTAATCCATTTCACCGGTTAACTACTCTGACACTAAAAAAATTGCTTCTAACGTCCCTGTGGCTCATTTTGGTATTCTATTTCCACCTCTATCCCCTTGTTCGTGTTCCACCCATGCTAAATAGTTTGTCTTTGTCCACCCTGTCAATTCTTCTGAATTGTGTAGGTGGTGATCACGTCTCCCTTAACTCTTCTGTCTTTCAGGGACGAGAGGTTAATTTCCGTAATCTTTCCTCGTAAGTCATATCTCTTAGTTACGAGGTATACCTATCCCCGAAACTAGTGTGCTGGCATACCTCTGCCTCTTCTTTAACTTTGTCTTGTGTTTAACTAGGTCTGGACTCCAGGCTGGAGCTGCATACTCCAGGATTGGTCTGACATGCGGGCCATATATCCCGCCCCCACAAAACACAATCCGACTCCACACAGGACCCCGCTTACTTCCCTCAGCACCCACCATCAATATCTCACCCCCCGCAGCTTCCCCGCTGTACACAGTCCTCATTACGAGAGCTTCCTCACTATCCTTACGTGGGGGATGACAGGGGGAGAGGTTGCCATGGCAACTCTGGGAGATTAAGCCAGACGACCCAGTCAAGCAAACCTGTCGTCAAGCCAGGCGTGACAGAGCAGTCGTCAAGCCAGCCGTGACAGAGCAGTCGTCAAGCCAGGCGTGACAGAGCAGTCGTCAAGCCAGGCGTGACAGAGCAGTCGTCAAGCCAGCCGTGACAGAGCAGTCGTCAAGCCAGCCGTGACAGAGCAGTCGTCAAGCCAGCCGTGACAAGAGCCGTTACTATACCCGGCTTGTGTGTCTTCAATGATACCAAGCGCTCTTAAAAGAGGTCTCTCTCTTAATCTCTCAAATTAGGTTGGTGTGGTAGAGTGTAAGCGGAGGCTCCCGTGCTCACCACGTCCCATCACCTCACTTGAAGGACTGATGTCATGCCTCGCGGTGTTTCACGGGGTTGTGATGTCATGCAAGTGTTAGACTTCACGAAGGCCGTGACGTCACGACCAGTGATATTAGGATAGAGGCGCCGCCACCGCCCCTACGTAGTATAGGGCTTCTTGAGACCGAGCTAGCTTGAACACCGGCCTCTCTCACACGCACGCACCCCCGCACGCACACACACATGCTGGCCTCCTACGCGCGCGCGCACGCACGCGCACACACGCACACACACACACACACACACACACACACACACACACACACACACACACACACACACACACACACACACACACACACACACCCAACGCAAACTACTTATTATAAAGTAAACCCTTCAAACTTGTTGTTAATTGCAACATGCAGCTCTTGACACACACAGTGCCTCGGGTTGCACTGAAGGTCACCAACACCCACCAGTGCCTAGTGCCACGGCACTGGTGGAGGAGGAGGCGCATGTCATCCTTATTCTCAGCTCATGTTACTTGGGAAGTCCACTTAAGATTTTTTTCTCAGAGATAAGCTGCCAAAATTAGTCGCAATTTGTAACTTGAGCCAAGTTTCCTGTCATTCTTATTTTGTGGTATAATGGTGTACGTGGTGCTGGTGAGAGTTTGGTGGCTTACTGCGAGCAGCCGACAGTCTCTGGGCTCACCCACCTGCAACCACCACCACACTAGGCTAACCAACAATGACCCAAAGTCACCACATATGGCGACAAACAGTGACCCAAGTCACCACACTAGGCTAACCAACAGTGACCCAAAGTCACCACATATGGCGACAAACAGTGACCCAAGTCACCACACTAGGCTAACCAACAGTGACCCAAAGTCACCACACTAGGCTAACCAACAGTGACCCAAAGTCAACACACTAGGCTAACCAACAGTGACCCAAAGTCACCACACTAGGCTAACCAACAGTGACCCAAAGTCACCACACTAGGCTAACCAACAGTGACCAGTCACCACATATGGCGACAGTGACCCCAAGTCACCACACATGGCGACAGTGACCAAAGTCACCACATATGGCGAAAAACAGTGACCCAAAGTCACCACACATTGCGACAAACAGTGACCCAAAGTCACCACATATGGCGACAAACAGTGACCAAAGTCACCACATATGGCGACAAACAGTGACCAAAGTCACCACACATGGCGACAGTGACCCCAAGTCACCACACATGGCGACAAACAGTGACCAAAGTCACCACACATGGCGACAGTGACCAAAGTCACCACACAAGGCGACAAACAGTGACCAAAGTCACCACACATGGCGACAAACAGTGACCAAAGTCACCACATATGGCGACAAACAGTGACCAAAGTCACCACATATGGCGACAGTGACCAAAGTCACCACACATGGCGACAAACAGTGACCAAAGTCACCACACATGGCGACAGTGACCCCAAGTCACCACACAAGTAGAGGCAGCCAACAGAGCCTCAAGCCATGTGAGGTCTTACCTACATTTACATATAGTCGTCTAAAACTGTCACTCGCTTCACCAAAGGAATTTACCAAGGCACACTTAACACCTGAACACACACACACTTACGGGTTTACGAGATCTTACAAAGAACCTAAGTGCAAGCGATGAGTCACAATAACGTGGCTGAAGAACGTTGACCAAACCACCCACTAGAAGGTGAAGGGACGACGACGTTTCGGTCCGTCCTGGACCATTCTCAAGTCGATTGTGGTCCAGGACGGACCGAAACGTCGTCGTCCCTTCACCTTCTAGTGTGTGGTCTGGTCAACCTAAGTGCAAGTTTGTAATATCAAATCATCTCCGATTAGCGTACGAGGCAGTATCCTTACCTTGGGATTGGAGTACCGGCGCGTACAGATACCGCAGTGCAGGAGCTGGGAGTCGGCGGTGCAGGACCTGGCGCTGCTGCTACCGCCGCCGCCTCCTGACGGTAAGGCTGGCTGGGAGTGGATGTGGAGGTGGGCGGGGTCGTGGACAGGGCAGGAGTTCGAAGGTGCGGGCGTGCGGGGCTGCGGGGTTGTGGGCGCTGAGGCCGGTGGGACGCTGTAGGTGCCCGAGGACAGGCGGTCTTCCTCTACGCCACCTTCCTTCTGCAGCCCTTCCTGCGGGAGCACACACCACATTAGGTCATCATAAAGCCTCACCGATGAAGATTAAACACAGCCCCACTCCTGTGCTGCCAGTTAAGTCCACTACGGGCTCACCATAGCCCGCTCCTGTGCCAGGTAAGTTCACTACGGGCTCACCATAGCCCGTGCTACTTGGGACTTTTTTGGTAGCTACAACAACAGCAAACAACAAAGATTAAGCAACCCAAGAGGTGGCACGGGCATGAATAGCCCCCTAAAACCTCACATGTCCCGATGTTATGAATTCAAGACAACCTTACACATACACCATGTGGTCTCCTCGCGCCTCACAGCTAGTCCATGGCACACCCAAGGGACACACACACACACACACACACAGTACTGTGCTATATAATAGTAGTGTACAAAATGGCTACTCTTATGGGTTGTGAGTGCGCGTGGTAGGTGGTACTAATTAGTGCGTTGAAGACCAGCACCAGAGAGGCCTTGAAGCGTCGCCAGTAATCCATGGCGTCATATCCAGTCACAGGTCCAGTGACTGCACAGATATCCTCCCCCTTGGAGCGGAAGACCTCGCCGTGTCCTTGCCTGGTAGAGGCGATGCCCGCCGATTCACAGAACAGCCGCTGCGAGCTGACCTTCCTTGCTCCCATGGCTAACACCTATACCTCCTTCCCTTCCTTTATCACTTGTGTCCACCTCTTCAGCCCCACCAGTACTGACCTTGGCAGGGTTGAGAAGAACCGTGAGGGTGGGGTGAGTGTCGTGGGCGGGGCACTGGTGGAGGAGGTCCTCCGAGGTCTCTGTCAGGGTGTAGGTACGCGCGCCCTCAGAGCCCGGCGGAGGGGGCGTAAGGGCGTCCATAGCGGGTGGCCGGCCTTGCTGGTCCTGGTCCTGACTCGCCTGGCGCCGCGCTGCTGCAGCCAGATGAGCCGGGTACTGCATCAGGGAGAAACAAGATACCAATGAGTTACGTTGCTAACATAGAGAAGAAACAACTTGCACAAAACTAATACTTAAGTCTCCGTTCAATATTTCCGAATGAGAGAGAACGAAAAAGCCAAGAGAGAAAACGAAACACTGACAAACTAAAATATAAATATTGCGAGCGGTAAGAAATCGCACAGTCCACATTATCTTAATAATTACATAAATACAACCTTAACCGATACATCCTGGTCTAATTCGTTGACATAATTGACATAGACACAACGAATATAATTTGTTGTGTCGGGACAGGAAGCCAATATATATATATATATATATATATATATATATATATATATATATATATATATATATATATATATATATATATATATATATATATATATATATATCGTACCTAGTAGCCAGAACGCACTTCTCGGCCTACTATTCAAGGCCCGATTTGCCTAATAAGCCAAGTTTTCCTGAATTAATATATTTTCTCTAATTTTTTTCTTATGAAATGATAAAGCTACCCATTTCATTATGTATGAGGTCAATTTTTTTTATTTAAGTTAAAATTAACGTAGATTTATGACCAAACCTAACCAACCCTACCTAACCTAACCTAACCTATCTTTATAGGTTAGGTTAGGTAGGTTAGGTAGTCGAAAAATCATTAATTCATGAAGACTTGGCTTACTAGGCAAATCGGGCCTTGCATAGTAGGCTGACAAGTGCGTTCTGGCTACTAGGTACGACATATATATATATATATATATATATATATATATATATATATATATATATATATATATATATATATATATATATATATATATACACACACACACACACACACACACACACACACACACACACAAGAATTCTTACATTACTGTAAACCCACCAGCACGCATAGAAATCGGGCAAGTTCTTAATCCTAATTTTCCCTGGAATACGACCCGCCAAATCGTTTAACCACCTAGGTACCCATTCACTGCTGGGTGAACAGAGGCTACACATAAGGATTGGTGCCCAGTCAATCTTACTTACTGCTGTTGTCTTATTACGGAATGGCAAATGGCGAGACCGGATTATCGGTAACCGAAAACTACGGTACATTCGGAACCCAACCATAGCTAAGGGAAATAACTTTAAGGAAGCTGAAATGATTAAAAAATATAAGAAAATACTCGTACCCTGTACGAGCGGTCAACGAGTACTTAACTATCAGTAAGTACTCGTTGACTATCCTTAAGAAAAGAAGTTGTGAAAGCCACCTCCATCCAAAACTTGAAAGCCAGATTTTACGAGGAATTTAAACGTCAGTGTGGTTAAGTTATAAGGTAAGAGATGCAACAATGCTGGTAACCAGGCCACCGAGCCAGACCTTACTCTTGATAGACAAGAACTTACAGGCGTCTTAAAAAGGCCGCAATTTATAAGGAAAATCTTAAATTTGCTACCAAGAGGCAAAGTAGTGTACTCCGTGGTATAACGAAGAACCCTTAATCTTGTACAAAAACAGACAATTATAAATATAATCCAGCCACTAGTGAACATGTGGTCAGGAGACTAGCAGACCCAGGAGCTATAAGAACGCTGTGAACTTAATGAACTCTTAGTGAACAAATCCACAAGGGCCGTGACGAGGATTCGAACCTGCGTCCGGGAGCATTAATGAACTCTTAGTTGCGTGATATATTTGAAAATATCTTTTAGAGGCAATGCGCTTCAGCTTTGAAGCCCCATCGTAATTAAATTAAACGCATCCATCTATTATATCAAAGTAATCCGAAAACATAGTCTCACGGTGACCAACATCGAGAATTCTACAATGTGGCAACATCACTGCTACGCCCAAGCGGGAGTTGACTCAATATAGTAAACACTGGTGGTTATCCGCGGCGTCACTTGACGTATCATGCACAGATTACATTACTAATTTATGCTGCTTCCAGAGGGCTGGTGCTGCGCCTGTTGGCTGGCATCTGCCAAGCTCTCTTTCTCCATCTCTCTCTCTCCTCCTCTCTACATATATTTGTTCTCCTTCCCTTATGTCTTTGTTTCCAGGCCACAGAACACAAAATTATCCATCGCAAAACCATCGAACCACAACCATCCCCCCAGACCCAAGCCCCACAATAGGCAACCTAAACCCCCCCCCCCAACAAAAACACACACACACAAAAACACACACACAACCAACCCCCAACAAACAAAACACGTGAATATGTTTAACTGTGGCACGGTGGTTTGGTCTACATGTCCCGCACGTCTGGACCCAAATCCAGCCAACAGCTGAATACCATTAAAAGAAACGCAGGGCACAGAGGTCAACTGTAACAATTAAGTCAATATTTGACTTAATTGTTACATAATTGACTTTATATTTATCATATAAAACAGTACGACTACAAGGGTGCTTGGTTATTAGCACCTGTGCCAGAGGATTCCCAGTTCCAGTATACAGGAACAATTGGGCAAAAAGTAACACAGGATTGTGTTACTGGAATCTGGATTGTGTAAGGAATCATTCAGAACCTTGTGTGCTCCACATCTCTGATCAATCCTGGAGTATTAGGCTCCAGCCTGGAAACCTTATATAGTCAAACACAAGATAAAATAAGAGAAAGTTCAGAGCAATGTAACCAGACTAATCCCCGAGCCGACACGTTTAAGTTACTGGAATACAGAAGAGTTAGAGGTGACATGATTGGTACCTATAAAATTTCTCGGAGAAATTGATAGGGGGTAGATAAAGAAACTATTTAGATTGGTACCTATAAAATTTCTCGGAGAAATTGATAGGGGGTAGATAAAGAAACTATTTAGCACGGGGTGGTACGCGCACCAGGGGTTGAAACTCTTACGGAAATGAGCCACACAGTCATTAGAGAACTTTTTTAATGCCAGACTAGTTAAATGGAATGCATTAGTAAGTAATGTGGACGTATTCTCAAATAAATACATGTTTATTCAGGTAAGATACATACATACAAGAGGTTTTACAAAAATTTATAGATTTATAGATAGACCTAGTACATACAATGCCTAAAGCCACTATTACGCAAAGCGTTTCGGGCAGAACTCTGTGTATGGACTCTCCATACACAGCTTAAAATGTAGATATGACAGAGCCCAATAGGTTCAGGAACCTGTACATCAGTTGAGTGACAGTTGAGAGGCGGGACCAAAGAGCCAAAGCTCAACACCCGCAAGCACAACTAGGCGAGTACATGCGCGTGCGCACACCAAAAAAAACCTACAACCAAAAAAACTACTTTAGTTCACCCAACCACTCTCTCCCTCCTCTGCCCCCCCCCCCTCCCGCCTCACAATCGGAAATCCGGGGTTCGATTCTCGGGCGGGACAGAAATGGTTGGGAACATTTCCTTGCACCTAATGGCGCTCTTAACCATAGCAATAAACAGGAACCCTGCAGTTAGCTAGTTATGGTGGTGGCATCTTGCGGAGGGTCAGTAGTTCGACCTGGGGTCCTAAGGAAGGACCGACCTCCATACAAGACTGAAACGTATATATATACACGGACTTCCTGTCCCCTTTGTCCCCGACAAGGCTAAGTCCCACCACCAGAATCTTGTTGAGTCTCCCACTGCTTGTCGCGAGAGAAGTACCTCCGTTTTCTAAGACGTTCCCGCCCATTGAGAAATGCGCAGGATAGCCACTAAAAAAAAATATCATTATAATGTTAATTGGAACTACAACAGCGTCATATAGGTAGAAACAGTTGGGCTATGCTATCCTCAACAAGATATACACTCCTCGCTGGCAGTTTGGACCTCCTGGAGTATGTACCGTACGTGAATTAGTAAAATATAATTGTGGATTTCCCGCCAATTCCTCTCGTGAGACGGGTTGGCGGGAGACGGGTTGGCGGGAGACGGGTTGGGGACGGGAGACCACAAAAGACAGAGCTGAACAGAGAGTGCAAAATCATTCACCCATTCATTTACTCATGCACTCATTATTCAACTTACGACCAAGGCAATCATACCACCTACAGGGTGATTAAGTCAGTCTCAACAACCCCCCCGCCCTCCCCCACTCCCTCCCACCTTCCCCACTGGACAGGTTAACTACCCAACTTGCCTATAATTGCTGTTGGCTATCTCAAGACGGGCCAACAAGATCAAGGAGGGTGAGGCTGGAATTTTAATCGAGTGCTAACAGTTCAACCCAATTGAAGGATAGTATTGGTAGTTAGCCATTACCTTATGAAGGGTTTAATACCACACAAAGTACTACATGGAAAGGAAAGTGGGGGGTGGAGGGCAGGGAAGGGGGTGGAGGGATAGGAGGTGGGGGGATGGAGGGATAGGAGGAGGGGGGGGGGGGAGGAGGTGGGGGGATGGAGGGATAGGAGGAGGGGGTGGAGGGATAGGAGGAGGGGTGGAGGGATAGGTGGGGGGAGGAGGGATAGGAGGTGGGGGGATGGAGGGATAGGAGGAGGGGGGGAGCGGCTACTGTGATCTACCATGTAGGGAATATTCGTTAAGTCTTTACACAGGTCATTTACCCCCCCCCCCCACACACACACCCTACCACACCCTGGGTGGATAGGTTAGGGAGTGTTCATAACACACTCGCCTCCACCGCACACTTCCCTTGCTCTAAACTCACTACACACTTATACTAAACCATGTATAATCACCACACACACTTCTCTACAAGGCTACACTATGTATACGCTACACTAGATTCATGTGTACATCCAAGTATACATTAAGAAAGTTATTGAAGATGAACAGTGCAAGAAGCACTGATGATGTACTTCACAAAACGGACAGAGAAAAAAGATCTAAGAGTTGATATCATGCCAAACCTGTTTCCTGAAGCCCAGATAAAAAGAATAACATCGGCGGCGTATGCGAGGCTGGCTAACATCAGAACTGCCTTCAGGAACCTGTGTAAGGAATCATTTAAAACCTTGTATACCACATATGTAAGACCAATTCTGGAGTATGCGGCCCCCGCATGGAGCCCGT